AAATCTTGTTTGAATGTGGTTTTTCGAAAACCAGACCGTTTTCGTGATAAAGGAGGGAGAAGCGAGGCAACCCTTCGAGGTCCATTGTTGAATACGGGAGCACGTGGCATTGTTTCCCGAACTCAACGGCTCTCCGTCCACAGCCAATCAGGAAGCGCTAGCGTCGTCTGCTCCTGCGCGAAACTTGGACTCCGTATAAGGAGAGGGGAGAGTGGCGCTTGACAGACCTCTCTGGAAAGAGGTTGCCAGGCGCGTGCGGGAAGGAGGAGAGGGGAGGGTCATAGAGCGGAGAGACGAGCGTGAGGGTGTCGTCTACTAGCCAGAATCGCGAAACGTTTCAAGTAAAACTCCTTCTCATTCGGTGTTACATACAAATAGACAAATGATGCATATGTCAAATCACTCCTCGGACATTCCCGTTTAGAATGCGAACCGCAATTTTGAAAGAATCGCAGTGTCAAGGCAGGAGAGGTGAAAGTGGACCGCGATCCCCAAACGTTCATGATGTGAGTCTGTTTAAAACCGTAAGGATCAAAAAGGAACTCACACAGGGCCGTCAAACTTGGGGAAACCACTCTCAAGAACTATATAAAAAATCTTGTTATTGGGTGTCCCTTTCACAACCTCGATGCTTCAGAAGAAAAACGAGCCAGAAACTGGAAACGGAATTTATCGAGCAGTTTTTCATAATTTCCTAAGTAACGAAAGAGATAATTTGATTAAACTTCCCACAAATATAGAGCAGGATGAAAACGCATAAACTCACGATTGCTTTTTCTGATTCATTGATTTTTGCGCAAGGTATGGTGGTGCAAAGGTTTCACGGAAATTTATTTTCACGTTACCACGCCCGTAACAACGAATCAAGCTTGTATTCATCTTAAAGAGCTATTTAAAACAAAGAGAATAGTGCAAGATTCGGAAATTTAGGTGAAGTGGTTGAGGAGATAACGGCTTTCGAAGAGGAGTGGGTCAGGCGTGACCTTTGACCCTACTTTCTGGCCATGCGGTTCACCTGAAGACCTCAGTGAGGGGCTCCAGAGGTTCTTTGAGGTCCTCTACAATTACAGAACAGGATTTCCATCCAAGGGGGTCGATTTTTTGGTGTCCCTAGTACCTTAAAGCACTTCTAGAAGATCAAGAATTCGCCTTTTTTTTTTAGACAGAAGAATGACATCTGGAGAATGTCACCTTGCCACTGGAGAGCTGACACACAGATTCCTGATGCAAAGTTGAACATTCCTTAAATCTTAGTTTACAGACACGGAAAATGGCGAATCCTTACTCCATTAAAATTTTCAGACACTGTGGTTTCAAAAATGTGCCATACCCTATTTCAAGATCTTTGACAACTTGATATATTCCTCAAATAAAATAAGCCACTCGAAATCAGGTGAAAATTAAAATAGGCGAGCTTCAGTGTTAGTGAGTCTATGCTGGTTAAATTTGGAGCAAACTGTGAGAACATAGGGCAGAGACGTGCAGACACCCAGGCAATTCAGGAAATGAAAGGAAAAGTTGTCTGCATAATTCTTTCCTCAAGCTAAACACAAAAAGAATATTTCAACGACCGACTTTTTAAAAGTCAGAAAGGGTGGTATGCATTAATAACCAGTTATTCTTTTAATTAATTCCCAAACACTACCACTTCCAATGAAGGAAAAAGGTTTTATGAGCACTGAACCAACTATAGTCTTTTCTTCTGACTTTTGCATATGACCACTTTTCCTTTCAGCCCTGAAAATGTAAAATGAGTCTCTGTTTTCACTGAAGGGAAGCTATAGCTACATACAGCCTATTCTGACCTCTTTCTTCCAGCCTTGAAAGATCAATTCCTTCCTAGTCCAGAGCTCGCAGCATTGCCAATCCAATTTTCGTCAGATTCCATTATCGGTGCTACAAGTCATTCCTCTCCCAGTCGGGATAGCTGGATGATCCAGGCACCTCCAATAAACTCCTCTGCCTGAAAAGGGACACACTGCCTCAGGTCAATTGCAAAAATGCTGCTAAGCTCGTTGAAATGACACATGAATTGAACAGTTTTCCTGTCCTCACCAAAAAATCCAGAGCATAGCTCCAATGACTGTAGTAGAGTATATTCCTATATAAATCCATCAGCGTTGTTAAATCAATCGAATTAACACAAGTTACAAGAAGATAACCAAAACGAACAAGGGACACTCATCTAATAAATTGGGAAGAAACCTGTCAAATCACTTTCCTTGTATCTACTCTGCAAAGTTAGGCAAGTTGCATAGCTCTTTTTCCAAAGACAATCTTTCGGAAGTAAGGCTTCACAAAGATCTGACAGAAAAATCTGACTTAGGACAAAATCACACTTGTGCTATACAGCAGGCTGGATTGAATAGAAACAATTCCTATTATTTTAGCATGCAGTGTGTAGTTTTGCAGTCATTAACAGACTGTTGCTGTGTACTACATCTAAAGTCCAGCATGCTGTATAGGGTGGGCACAAAGTCCCTTCAATAACAATTTTAAATAATAGTACATGACATAACATGAAACAAATAAAAGATGTTATTTAATCAAATGTAATTAGGGAGCCAAAATATCAGTGTGCAGCCCACCTCCATGAACTGTTTTCACATGTTTATCACCTACAAAAACAAAACAAAAAAAAAGGTTATTTTTTGCATATTGAAGTGACTTTGTGCCCACCCTGTACAATGCAGGAAAGCAGGTGCATGAACTCAGCCTAACTCTCATGGGTATGAAAACAAAACTAGGATTAAATGAAGCCAGTGCAAAAGAAGTGAAAGGCCGAGTTCATACTCCAGCAGTACTGCATGGAACAGCATGGCTCAATCCTTGGCTTCTGAATCATGAAGTACTTCAGGACAACATCTCTGTCCTGGGATTTTGTGTCTGTCTTTAATCCCAAGAAAACAGAATTCTACTTAACTCAAAAACAATACAAATGCAATGGCCTATTCTGTAAAGAATGTCCAGGGCAAAGGTCAACTGCTTCATGCAGAGGCCTAAAGGCCTCTGCATGAAGCAGTTGACTTGTGCACTCAGAAACAGCTGAGATATTTTCCACTTGCAAGAAAACAATTAAAAGTCAAGGAAAGTCAGGTTAACTAAAGCAAAGCATTAGTTGGAGACTGTGCATTTAGGGTCCAACACCTTCCAACATGGAAATTTATTTTTAGTCCAATCTCTGATATTTGTACAGCAAAACTTACAGTCATTCTATGATAGATCAAATCCTTTTCATAAGAATCCTTCTTGAAATGTTTCCCTCTCATTCTTGCCAGACAATCCAGTAAGTCAGCTCCACCACTCCAAAAGAAAAAATATTGAAAATTTTTTATGATTATACGACGGATGCTCTGAGAGGTGGCTTGATGCAAAACTCCAAAAAGAAAGTAACCTGTGGAAAAGCATCAGGAAGGGCAAACCTTTCCATCTGATCTTCATAGTCCTGTTTAGACTCCTGCAAGAATCCTCAGAAGACGAAATCAAAGACAACAGAAATAGCTTTCCCACTGTATGAAATTCACAGGGTCTGAAGAATAGACTTGCAAGCAATGAAAGGAGAAAGAGGGAATCATCCACCAAGTATCTCAGGGTCAGTTGCTCCTTTTTTTTTCCAAACCTATATCAGATAGATATGAATATCAGACTACAGTCCAAATAGAGTCAGTGCAACTAGATATAATGTAAGACATGTTTTCCAAGTTAGACTAAACATGAATGTCAGGCTTAGCTGAGGACGCTTCAAGTGCAACTGCTGAGCTGTTTGGAAAGATTAACTAATTATAATTCATATTTTTGCTCTTTTGGATCTGGAATCCATGGAAGAAAATCATCTTTATAAAATAATTTTCAACACATCATTAATTAGCAAGGTGGATTGCATAAAGACAACTTGGAAAGGGTCCCTAATAATAATGAGACTGAAATTATAAGTAAATACAAGGAAAATTATTTTTTCATCCAATTCAGCAACCAGGAAACAATATGCTACCATATTGTTTCAGTTCCAGACACAAGAGATATGCTTAACCTTTACCAGGCAATTTTCCCTAAATAATGGGTGGCAAAGGTAAGTGCTATTGAATAAGTGAACTATATTATACACACTTCCCAATACAATGCGAATATCAGATTAATTGCATTTGAAATGAATAAAAGACAGACTTTCGGTTGGGCATCTCTTGTTATTCCTGGGCTTCATTTCTTCAGGAACAGCAAGCAAGTGAATATGTCATTCTATAGGTTGCTGAGAGGAAAAAAAAAATATTTTAAAGGTTAAAAAGATTCCATCTACACAAGATTTGTTTAAAAAAAACAACATACACTAGGCTATGGACTTAGGAAAGATGTTAAGAAGTACTTCCAAAAAATCACCAGGCCAATGAAAGTGAGTCCACTTCCAACAATTCATTTTTGGGTAGAGCTTCCATTTATTTTGTTTTTTACATTGGAGTGTATTACCCAGAGATCAATCCTGCCATGTCTTACATCATTTGATGCATTGACCCCTTCTTGTCCTTCTCTTGTTTCTGGTGCATCAAGACAGAATAACCTGCCCCATAAATTTAGTTTGGTAGATTGCTCGAAATAAAATGCTTCAAGGGTGTGACTTGAAATTTCTAGAATAACTCCTTTCAAGGAGCCATGCATTTACGTTACCTCAAATACTTCCTGGTATAAAGGCTACATAAGAAGTATTAATGTATGCATATGCTTTGAGCAACTGATGCACACAGATGCTCACTAGTTGACCTCCCAACCCCATAGGTATCTATCCCATCATCTGAATCTGCAATCAGAAAAAAATGGACTTCCCAGCAAATTTCACAGAGTTAATCATACTGATCCTCCAGAAAACAATAAAACTTTTGATGCCTATTTGTAGAGTTCATTTTGAGCATACTGTCACAAGTCACCAGTCCGGGTTCCTTTGTACGGCAGCACTATAATAGAGATGGGCCTCCTAAGGGACTTTTTAATATTAATACCAGAATTGGTGAAGCAACAGACAGCTATTGTGCATAAGGTCATTTGATTCTTGACTGGTGTCACTAGTAAATGCACCAATAAAACTTTTGAAAGCATTTGAGAAGCATAGCATCAACAGATAAAAATCTGTTTGGTGAAGCAACAGACAGCTATTGTGCATAAGGTCATTTGATTCTTGACCAATGTCACTGTAGTAAATGCACCAATAAAACTTTTGAAAGCATTTGAGAAGCATAGCATCAACAGATAAAAATCTGTTCTCCAATTGCCAACAGCCTTCAATGCATGCCATCCTGGCAATATTCAAGCATGAGAATAACAGGAAGAAATCCTTGATTCATCATATTTCATTTGGAAGGAGACTCATGTTTTTTGGACTGAGTACAAGCTTGTCTTATGGACTATGGAGTCTATTGGTGCCTCATCAAAGAATATTATGAAAGTACTGCATGGCTGGTTTTATTTCTCAGCCATGTAAATGCTATCAGATAGTGCAGTACAGCCCACTGCAAAAATGTTCCTTCTCCACTTGACCTATTATTTGGTTCTTCCTCTTTAGCAGGTACTGATTAGCAGCCAAGCAGCAAACTACTCTACTGTCCTCTTCAAGAATTTAGCTTTCAATCTCCTTATTATTGGACTCCTCCAATTCCACAATTTTGATGATTCCCCCTGCTGACAGATAACATGAGTTCATCTGTCAGCAAGGAGAAGCCTCCATGAAGCTAATTCAATGTTCATTCTTTCAAGTGATTTTCCTTAACTTCAATCTTTCAATAATTTCAGTCTACAAGTTTGCTTTGATTATATTTATGGTACTGGTAGATCGGGTCAAACTTAGATTGGTTACTGATAGCTGTACAGTCTGTATCTTTTAATAGAAGGTAAGGATGTTGGAGAAAACTCACTGAAGTTCATCCACATCATTGTCAAGTATTTGTATTTCTGATACGAAGAGCTCTTAGGCCTAAGCCTAACTTAGTTAATATTTTCAGCATTCCGTAAAAAAAAGTCAGTCCTAATAATTCTACGCCTTTATCAAGGCGTTATATCATCTGATACTCAGGACAAATACATATGGCAAAATAAAAGAATATATAACAATGCCTAGCGTCCGGTTCAATTATTCGTTAGCAGCATGCAATGACTTGTGACTCCTGAATTCTGGAAGTAACATAGGCCTAGGTTGTGACCTCTTAGGGGTACTTCACCTAATATATACACCCTCAGTGATTTCACTCAATTACTCAAATGAAGATATTAAATCACAAATCATGAAATGAATCACATGGAAGGTGGCCATACTTGCTCGCCCGCGTAACAATGAGTGTCAGGTGATGAGTCAGATGTCGCAACCGGTCCATCAGCACAGTTGGGTTATAAGTAACGAAAGGGTAATTCGACCACGCGACGTTGGTCGGGCTATTAGTGCAACTGTGGACATTTTGAACTTTATATTGTCAAATGGCGACTGTGAAGCTCTGATATCAATCGCACAACTTTGGGAACATTTACTGGCCGACACGGACCGGATAAAATCTTTTCGCCAGCCCAACGTATAGCATAGATGATGCATGAGGTGACCAATGACGAAATATCCCAAAACCTTCTTGTTTTTCATGAGCCTCCTCATACTTCTCAATTTGACATTCCTGCACGAGGAGCAACCCATGCTTGGGTGTCCAAGCGCAGCGAAACATTTTTCGACTCAAGAAAGCATTGCACGGAAGCTGTTCGTACATGATATGCGCACGGCAACGAAAGCAGCATCCAACCCAAAATTCTGAAATAACGCGAGTCGTAGTTGACGGAATCCGAGGGGGTAAATCGACCAGGTAGCGGATAACGAAAGCCTCGAGCGTGCGAAGGTTCCCCCAACGAACCGGATGCGCAAAGAGCGACATCTAGTTGAGCGCGGGCTCGCTCTTCTTGGCGCTTGATCCCGATTTTTGTGCCGTCCTTAGTAAATACTTCCGCAAGCTAATGTATGACCTTCAGCAAGCCACTAGCGCTTCCTGAACTTCTTGTGGCTCGGATGTTGTGCCACATATATGAAGGAGAGGTGAAGTCAGTGGCTTAGCGTGGTTGGCATGGGCCCTGGTGCAAGGAATGAAACGGGGCCCGCTGTCCAATTTCTTACTATTGAATTATGTGGGAGTCATATTTGTTTCCTAGTTTTCTCCGGCAGCACATAAATCGTCGTCGATAGCTGAAGTCAGGGTGGAAGACAATGGCGGATACAGAAGTTTCTCATAGTCTGCTTCCTAGTTCCCAGCCCCCCCTCCCATCTACTACCATCCTCCGCCCCATCGCCTTATTCATTTTTCGTCTGGGGTAAAAACCCTGCTTATCCATTTCACAGGAGCTAATAAACATTAATTTATGTGCTTTCAAAATTAAAAAGGACTGCGTACTTGGCCAGAGGAGGGGCAGTCGCCCTCCCCCACCCCCCCCCCCCCCTCCTCTGCCTTCCCCCCTGTTCATAGCTTCGCGTCTCGGCCCCTCTGGCCCGTGAGCCCCGGTGCAGTCGCACCGCGACCACAGTCGGTAGCTACGCCACTGGGTGGAGTGAATGTTCCACGAAAGAAGCTTCTTCCTCCCGTGATTACACAAGCACACAAGATATTCTGATAAAGGGAAAGTTACGTTCTGTGTTCCATGTTTGATATAATCCCGACACTCCATACCAGATCGTGACGATAGTAACGAAGAACGTGGGTCTAAAAATGAAATGCGTCTCCACAACCCCATCAATCGGTGGGGCACTCTCCACCACCCCATCAATCGATGAGGCACTCTCAACCTATGGCGGACACGCTGCTGAGAGCATTCAAAACATTGGGTGTGTTACGAACGGCTTTTGCATTTTCCTGTTATTTCTGTGAATGTCACTACCTGGTTATTCACTACCCAGAATATCCAGTTGGAGTTCCAGCAGAAATGCAATATCAAAAAGGTTTCAAAGCCAAAAGCGGAACTGAAGCCCTCCACTCACTACAGAAGTCACACTGAGATGCTTCAAAATATTTCCTCCTTACTGCGACGATTTCCACGGTCATCTGGAGAGACTCTCACCTGGAATGAGACTCCCTGTTTCCGTCGTTTTAAAAGAAACCGTTACATTTTTACGGGAAAGCTGACTCCTGAAACGAAAGCGATGCGTTTAGAGTGATTCTCATGAGCAGAATACTGCTTGTGTGCTTGTGTAGACGCACTGCACGAAACCAGATGCAGAGAAGACGAAAGCAATCCATTGTTTTTCTTTCTTCCTGCCCACCTTCGAGGCTCTTACAAAAATATTTCTTTAACCCTTTGCGGTCAGTCCGACGATCTCCATAAACAGCTAAAATGGACCGCAAAGGGAAGTAACGTGTGGGAAGACTTCAGCTGCTTTCCAATGATGGGAGGAAGGCGCTCGGAAGCCATGTCCCACTCACAAAAAAGCGAACTTCACCCGAAAAATCTTCCGTCGGTTAGAACGGAATTCGCGCGCGCACTCGTCGACGGGAGTGACTACACCTATACCACGCGGATCGAGGAACGTGCCGGTGCGAATGAAGTCGCTCACCGCGCGGAGGACGACCGGTCCTCAGAATAGCGGTCCCGAGAAGGTCGAGTGTACAGCCCTTCGTGTCGCGATTCAAGGCCCGCTTGGATGTGGAAAGCCGGTGGAAAAGGCCTCGGAGAGCCAGGAGTCCGTCTTCGACTCTTCCCTTCCTCGACGACACGTCGTCCGTGTCGTCGTCGTTTAGATTTAGGTTCTGTTCCAGGTCCGACCCGAAAAAATGGTGTCGAAATGCCGCTACGGCCGGTGACAGCCCGACCGATGGACCAGTATAACATGCTTATACATGCACACGACATGTAGCACGAACGATCGCAGGCCCAGCCAGGGTATCCAACTCATTAATGTCACCCTGGAAGCATATCGATTATTCCGACCGAGCGGATCCGGCACGGAACTCACGATCCAAACACGTTTCGATTCCTTTCGTAAGAAGCCTTATCGCACTTGGTTTTGAAACGGAAGACGACGGCCTTCGGAATCGCGAACCGTCCCTGACACACCATAATCAGTTGCGCTCATTCAACGGCTTTCCATCCTCATGGAGAAAGAAAGGCCTTAAAGTCTTTGCTGTCGATGGACAAGGCTATCTGAGATGCCACAAAATACAAGCGCAGAAATAAACCGTAGGCCAAAAATAGTGCGATTTCATTGTATTTTTTAATGTTTACCTATCGGATATCGTACGACCCTCGTGTTTTCCTGGACATGATATCTCAGAAAAATCATGAAGGTTTCTGCTAAGACTTAAAAAATTCCGACTCTGTGCTTAAATTTTGCAATAAAAACGTGCGTTTTTAAAGTTTAAGTACCGAAAATCGTTGGGAAGCTTTACTCCTTCATACATGTCACTTCGGCATTCTCAAATTACGGCAGACAGCAACAGTCATGAAATGGAATTCGAGTACCTCCTTTATTTATTTCGGTTGCTTTTTGTTCTGGTTCCATTTACAAGATTAAAAAAAATGGTTTTCCGGAAGCCAAGATACACTTCCACCTGTAGGTAGATATAAACCGGCACTGTTTCGTGATACAAATCGATGGCAGTGACACACAAACAGGAAAGATAAAAGAGAGTCGCCTTGGCCCACCCGCTGACCCCCGGCGACATCCCGACATCCTCTAGGATATAAGAAGCTCGCTCCCGCTCCACACCTCCCTCTTCGCAGGACGAGGCGAGACTCAGCTCCTCCGCGCTCCGGCCATGAACTCGTTCCTCCTGCTTTCTGCTTGGGCTCTGTTGGCAGTGGCGGCGGGCCAGGCGTTTTGGGGATGTGAGTTCTTCGTGTCGTTTTTGCCCTTTCGGTGTGCCGGGAGACATTCTTGTCCGAATCTAAGCTAAGAGCGGTTATGAGACGCTGAGTCTCGCGTGGGGAATCTAAATATAATTTTATCTCTAATTTTAATTATACTATATTAGTAGTTTTAAAAGTCTAATTATCGCAAATTAGTAGTCGAATTAGTCTAAATTAGTAGTGGGAGGCGTGAAGCAGACGAGCACGCTTCACTTGGCTTGGCGCTTTTTCACTTGACTTTTCTTTCGATTCCGATAGATTTCGACGAAACTGAACTCAGTTTTAACAAGGAGAGGGACAGATCTTTGGGTTTTGGACAAATTCTCACGGATAATTTTTTTTATTATCTTAGGGAGATGCAACGAGATCTGTACGGAAATTTGGAACCCCGTCTGTGCATCCGACGGGATGACGTATTCGAACCGCTGCGAAATGGAGCAGAAGAGCTGCAGGATCGGGCGGAGGTTGAAAGTCAGGCACCGAGGACCCTGCCCCAGTGGGAACGATTCCTTATTTGCGCCGTTTCGTCTAGATGTCGCTGTGTGGACTCGGCGGCCGTCGAGTCCGTGTCGGTGCGAGCAGTGGTGTGACTCGCAAACCGGGGTAGAGAAGGGAGTTTCCCGAGGCACGATACGCGAAGGGTAGCATGTCAAAGATCGGCGCGTGAGACATATAAAGGTATTGCGTGTACTCCCGTCGTTTAGCAGCCCTCAAATCTGGAAGCGTCGTGGATTTATTGGGTTAGAGTGCATTTTCGACAAGTCTCATAAATAAATAATCACACGAGTGATTATCGGTTAACACATGGTCGCACATTGGATGATCGGGCCTCTACTCGAGGTGGCGCCCTCATCGCGAATCATTTTCTCTTTTCGTTTTTCATTTTAATCCCATTATTAATCCCGTCGTGTGTCGTGCCCCTCGTGAGTTTCGCCGCTCCCAATCCTGTGGTTTGCCTCGTACATTGCTCCGAATATCGATGCTGATTTTATGACCACCTTTTAACGGGTTCATGAGCGAAGTCCCGACACCTCGTGTCTTGCTCGGGGGGGATGTGCCGAAGGATT